CGCTCAGCGGGCCACGGTAAAATTATCAAAGGCTGACTGGTCCGCGGCGATAAAAAGGTTGGGGACCACTGGATTAAAAGAAGGAGAAAAAAATAGGTAAGGCCCACAGTGCAGGAGAGGAGCATCTATTCGATATTCAGAGTTTTTATTTATATTTTCTTAGGGTACTTGGTATTTCATTTCTGACAGCATTCTTTAGATCACAGGTGTCAAACTCGCGGCGTCGCATTGCCATCACGTGACGTTTCACGTTTCCCCCCTTTGAGGAGCTGGGCTGGGCGTGGCCTGTGTGTGACACATCTGGCTTGCAGGCCACCAGTTTGACACCCCTGCATTTTTAGATTAAAAAATCACTTGTTTTGCCAAAAAACCTGCACTGGCTGTGATAAATGATTAGCCAATTGATTTACACAGATTTTAAAATAATTCTGATAATTACTTACCACAATAACCATGTTAGGGAAAATGATTTGGGATTGGTGATGGATTTTGCAACTTTTACAACACAGTATTTTGCATAAATATGAGGGGTTTATGCCCACTACTTCCTTACATAGATCTGTAGTGGTTAACAACAAAAATTATGATGATGATGTATTGGAATAATAAATTTTAGGGAAGAATTAACCAATTTGAGTATAGCTATTCCTATACAGCGGATCTTTTAATGATTGTTCAAAGGTACAACAGACTGTTCAAAGGTACAACAGCTACTTATTTCAAAGTTATGTATTCTGCAGAAACCACCTGGTTATTCAGCCTTAGGACCACAGAGATGCTGCAGTATGCCCACATATCTCCCTCCCCCATCCTGACCTGCTGGGCCCCAGAGCATTGAGACTCCTTTGCTCCTCCCTGGATTCTACACAATTCTCACCCCTCCGACACAATCACTCACATACCTTGGAAGATCTCCAAAGTTCAGGAGGTGGGGACGGGAAGGAGAATAGGCTGCTCAGTTGCTGAACCATGTGGCAGAATGCCACAAGTGGCATATTTTTTGACCCATCTACTTGTGCAGCCTAGTAAAGCAATGAAGCAGCTGAACTGCATGATCATTTTGCCTTGAAAAAGACCTGCATTTTCCAAAAGCTTAATTCATTAACAGAAAAAGTACTGTGTTTTTCTGAGTATAAGACACACTCCCCCCCCCAAAAGAAGATGGATGTTTGGGTGCATCTTATAGCCCCGCCCACCCACCCCCCCCCCCCCCCTTT